CAGCAATTTTCAATCGTTTCAATTTGCAACCTTTTTCGCGCGAACTTTTTATCTTTCTCATTTCTTCTCTCCACCAAACTCCCATCCATAAAATGCCTCCTGCGCCCGTTGAGGCTCTGGAAACCGGTACCAAGCTTCCTGTTGGCAACACGTGGCTATTTCCCGAACGTGAGTTTCTCAAGTCTTCTCCAAGCAGAAAACAATTGACCATCGCACAAGACTTGAAAACTCGAGAATCCATTCATGATTTTGTTATTCGTCTTGGAACCGCCCTCAGAGTTGATGGTCCAACTATATTGGCCGCCACCATATACATAAACCGTTTTTATGTCCGTATGCCTATCACAACATCAAAATATTTTGTTGCATGCGCTGCCATGTCCATATCATGCAAACTCAATGACACCTATCGTGCCCCTGATAAGATAGCCATGGCAGGATGTACTATAAAGAACCCACACAAAGTCATCGATGAACAAAGCACGGTTTTCTGGCACTGGAGGGACCAATTACTTTTTCGTGAAGAATTGATCCTAAAAAATCTCAATTTTGAGCTCAACTTGGACCTCCCGTACGACTTGCGGCGACCGTTGGAAGAGTACGACCATTCTGAAGATGGACATGAAGTGTTTTTCGAAAAGCTTCCTGAAATTATCAGAAATGCCATTTCTTCGGTCGAAATCCTCTCATCACTTCCCATCACCGTGGCCTACGATATGCCCACGATACTAGCTGCCGCCCTCGTTTTAACCATTTGCGATGCAGAAGCGAGGTTTCCAGACCTATCATATCCGCTGGGATACCTTCAGAAATGTCTCCAGATTGATTTAGACTGGTGCTACAATTGCTACTTGTACATACTAAAGCTTCTTGACCTCGGCAAGAGTAGCGACCCCAAACTAGCAAGCAATCGAAACGCGGATAAAAAGGTCAAAAGACTTTCAAAAGAGCAGTTTTACAAGTACAAATAGCGTTTGTGTTTGTGCCAAAAACGAGCGCTCCGAGCGATACAAAAGTTCAACCATGCAACTTGATGAAATTGAAACCAGTGTGATTGGCGCATACCACGAGTTTGATTCCAATAGCGAAGACTCGGAGTTGCTTCTTGGTTTTTTTGTCCAAAAACGGTATTCTGAAGTCATAGAATTTTGTTCACAATCCACCTTGGAATGGACCAGTTTGATGCGTGTGATCCATTTACAGTCTCTTATGCATAGTCAGATGTACGATGATTGTATGCGTGAATTGGCTGTTTTAATTGTGGCCGAATACAACTCTTACTTGAGGTACCATTTGAGTCTACTTTTGGTAGCTATTCTTGCACGGTTGGGAAACAAAGATTACGCTGCAATTTGCCTAAAGGATATAACTTTCGATATTGATGCTGAGCTCCAAGTGAGAGAGGGCAGCGATCCTCACTGTGTCAAGCTTAAATCTCTACGAGAAATTTGCGATGGCATAGATTTAAAGGCGACCAAACTGGTGATTATCGACAGTCCACCATATAAGTGCCGACTTTCTGTCAAACAAAAGTCTGTGTTGGATGCTTGCAGTGTTTTCCTACGCCGTGGGATTCACAAAGCAAAGCGTTTAGAGGTAGAGCACTCGCTCAATGTCATTTTTTCAGCGGTGACTTCGTTGGAACTGAGTGAAACTTTTGACTCGATACTTAAGCAGGTGGATTCGATTGTCCAGGCTATTAATCGAGAGTTTCGAGCCGCTTTTCATCAGGACGTTGACTCTTTTAAAGTCCAGGAATGGAGCGAGTGTGACATGGATGATCATACTCGGTTTGACCAAGCATCTATCATTGTCAAGAGCTGTCTAACAATGTCATTTTTCCATAGATTGGATCAAAGGTTCGAGGAGTCTATTGCAATTCTGAGAAAGGCTATTGGCGTCTTGGACCGGCTCAAAGTATTTCACTTGGAAAACGATACCATCAATATTGCTAGCAGAAATACTGCCTTGTTACTCATTATCCAGTGCCATACAATTGGAAAAGTTCCTCTCAGCAGTGAAGATGCACTCGAACTTCTTTTTGATTTCGCCGAACGCAACATCAATCCGTTGACAGAATTTGTTCATGGAAGACTTTCGGAGTACTGTTTAGGGTGTGCTCTATTGTATGAACAATTGGGAAACGAGCAAGATTTACCTGTTGAAAACCGTCGAAGACTGGTGTTGGACATGATCCGAAAGCTAGTTCTCGCTGTGACCACAAGTACGTCGGCTCCGTTGGAGATTTATGAGTGGATACTTTGGGGTATTCTTATTCATGGTGAATTTCATATGCGAGTTTTTTGGTTTTTCTATGTGGTGAGAAGCATCGAAGCATCCAAACGGGTGAACAAATGTCAAAAGCAGTACGAGAGATTAAGTCTTTATACCAATGGATGGGAATTGGCTCAGCAAATTTACCTGGAGTACCAAGGACATCATGAGAAAGAATGGATCATTGATCCGAAATTCACTCTTCCTTCGTATAAGGTTCAAGGTGATACAATAGTGGAATGCAACACCAAGTATTCCGAGGTTTTTGATCCTGTTGCTGTCAGTGTTGAATTGATAGATACATGGAAGGGCACTTATAGCAATTACCGGGGAGCAATTCCTGCGGAGTTGCATATTGCTTAAGTCGCTATGAATGCAGAGAAATTGCAGCCAAAGAGATAAGAAAAGTATACCAAGGGAAGTGTGTCAAATACACGAAAGTGCCATGAACAAACCGTAAACTACTCATATAATCCTTCTAAATCGTGAAATAAAGCAAATTGCGAAATTATTAAATTCTTCAATTCTTCAATTCTCACTATCTAATCTTTCTCACTTTTCGTTTCTCGTTTCTCACTATCTCACTTCATTCACTTCATTCATGAATCACCAGGACAACCAGTTAGACGATGCAGGGTTCTGGAACTCGGTGGTGGATATCTACAACGAGGTGACTGCTCTCCGAGTGGCTGCTGGCGAAAACGGTCGAAATCAGGCACTTGCTCATCTCCGAATACCTGACGAAGCGAGACACAGAAACAGGTATGTTCGGCCCGTAAGGTTGGCTCCCTACATTACCTTGCCCGTGGTGGAGTACCGGCTCATTTGGAGGCATTTAAGGTCGATTGGACCATTGGCAATTCTAGGACGTTTATGGATATTTTGTGCTCGCGTGGCCCACACCCTAGTGGTCTCCACCCTATTTATGTTCACGCTTGGATGGCTCTTTACCAGTTTGGGGCAACTGCTCTTGACAGCGGCAAACTTGGCAACGTTTTCTGAAAGCACCACCAGTGATCTAAAGACATATATATTCAGTGGTTACCCATGGGTCGCACCGGTGAGAGCGCAGCTTTTCAACAATAATGACGATATATTTTATGGTATACCACCAGAAACCAGGTTTCCGACATTGCTGATGATGGCCCAGGTGGTCTTAAACAGCATTGTGCTCGATCTTAATATGAAGTGCACTCGTTCGGCCGATACTACCATCTGTGTTCCCAGCACCGATTCTCTCATTTTTGCATTCGACAGAACAATTTCTAGAAAAGTGCTCAATGGCACCTCATGGCTCTCATGGGCGCTCTCGCAGGTTCCCTGGCTCATTTCCGCGGTTTCTACATTACTATTCGTGATGTATATTGTCCCACCTATAGTGCTTCTGGTCAATATGGCGGCTTACATTCCACACAACTATTTGCATCGATTTTTTTTTCACTTCCGGGTACTAGAAGCAACATTCAAGGCACTGTGGAGTTCAATGGACATGTAAGCCGTTGCAGCCGACTCGTACTCCGGTTAAAGGTGGCTTACTCCATTTTGTGTAACTTCGGCAATCGGGTTGAAAATCTCCCCCGCAATTATTTCACTCCCACTTACCATGTCAATTCCAGAATCCATGAAGGCCATTGTGTTCCAGGGACCATTCGACATTGCTACTGTGTCTGTTCCTACCCCCAAATTGACCGAACCCACCGATGTGCTCTTGAAAGTAACGTATTCAGGCTTGTGTGGAACCGACTTGCACACCTACCGAGGGCACATTAAGGGTCCTGTTGGAAACATTATAGGACACGAATTTATGGGAGTGGTGGTGGAGAAAGGGTCAACGATCTCAAGCTTTGAAGTTGGGGACGAGGTGCTCAGTACTTTTACTATTCAATGTGGTTCTTGCTGGTACTGTCGTCATGGATACTCGGGGCAATGTGTCAAGACAAATACGTTTGGAAAAGCCGGCTTGCCGGGTGGACAAGCCGAATATGTCCGTATTCCCTATGCTGAAACGACTCTTATCAAAAAGCCATCTAACGACTCTACTGACGATTCTGTCTATGTTCTTATGGCAGACATCTTCACCACCGGTTACTACGGAGCCAAGAAAATTGTTAACCATTTCAAGAACGAACTGGCAAGGGGATCTGTCCAACAGGATATCAGCGACGTAACGATTCTCCAGCTTGGTTTGGGTCCCGTTGGGCTTTGTGCTCTTCGAGCATTGAAGCATTTTGGGTTCAAGAAGATTGTGTGTCTTGATAGTGTTCCGCAACGACTCGAAGAGGCACAAAGATTGGGTGCCTATAAGACGATCAACTTCCAGACCGAACCTGATGCCCTTGCTGACTTTATTGCCAAAAATACAGACGGAGGAATTGGATTTGATGCTGTTTTAGAGGTAGTCGGTGCTTCTCAAGCTCTTCGCACCGCTTATGATTCTGTTCGTGGTAATGGTTTTATTTCTTCAATTGGTATGCCCCATGACTCTCTACCATTTACCGGGCTTGAATGCTATTTAAAGAACGTGAACATCTCCTTTGGAAGATGCCATGCTTGGTCATTGTTCCATGAGGCATTAGAAGTATTTGAAAAACTCAAGAAAGATTTTGAGAGTTTCATCGATTGCAAGATTCTGGTCGACGATGCAAAACACGGCTTTGACATCTTTGATGCCCATAAAGTCAATAAGGTGGTGTTTGATTTCACCAAATAGAAAAATAAAAAAATTATGGACGCATCCGGAGTCGAACCGGAGACCTTTCGCATGCGAAGCGAACGCGCTACCAACTACGCTATACGCCCAATAATGACAGATTTCCCACCGATTTGATATCATAGGCGACGAATACTACACAACTCATACTTCTATACCTACTCTACTGCGCTCCCACCTACATCGATAAACTGCAACATTACTCTACTAGCCTCTATTAAGCCATTTGTGCCATGCACACCACCTTTTCAAAGCCGCCAATAACGGCTTCAACCATGTGCGAACTGAAGAGTTGCATGCTGCCTGAAAACTTATCCCACCATCTCGTAATTGTGCAGCAGAATTGCGAGTCTACAATTCCCTGAACCCAGTCATCGACAACGTCCACGGCGCGAACTGGATGCGCCAGGAGACCCTTAATCTCCGGCTTTTCATCCACCTGCGTAATGACGTTGGAAACGCAAAACCCAAAGACTGTTGCAGCACTTCCAGCCAAGGTGATACCGAGGCCAATTCCTAAGGCAAAGCTGCAGAATAACCACAACTTTGAGTCGCCAGAATCGTGTGGATTCGACGGATTATTGTGACTTTGAAACATCTTCTTGATAATGGTGTAGAGGATATTGACATGATAAAAGCTCGATGAGAGCCTTAAAGGATCTGAGCTTGATAAGCTGACAGAATCTTGCAATTCATGCCGGATTTGTCGTTCGATCTGCTTATAGTTTGGTGCAGAAGTTCTGGTGACACTGAGGTCCATGATCGAATCTATGCCAGAAGTGCCTTGGCATTCTAGTGAATCCGTCAGGCTTTCGAGCAGGATGTAGTCCTCGATTCTGGTAACGAGGTTCTGCTGGTGCAAGCTGGAAGTCTTCCATATTTGAAATGGACGCATGAACGCAATCAAATCAAAGAGATTGATAAAGTAGTTGACACTCATCATGTTTATCACCGTGAGCTTGGGAGCAGAAATGGAGTCTGGTTGGTCAAACACTGTTTCGAGACACTTGATGAATAGTGGAGATCCGTCGTTGATCATGAACACCAAGTCAGCCTGCCGCAACGCCAGCGACAAGTCTGCACTGTCTCTAACACTAGAAACGGGCAAATTGGCGATAGACATCTTTGTAGTGGCCAAATCGTTCTTGATTCGATCTACCAATGCTTCGCATTCCGCGCCATGCGAGTTACTGAGCACAACGATATCTAGTATCTGCTGCTCAGATAACCGCATCTTTGGCATCACAAAAGACTTTTGGTTCGGCAAAAACTCAGGCTCTCCGTCCAGCGGGTCCTCTTCGTCTGTTTCGAATACCATCACTCCTCCAAAGCTGGGGCTGCCCCCGTTGCGGGAAACTACTACCATGGACTCATCCTTGTCGTCAGTTGTAGAAGACAAGATCGAAGACGACGGCTTTTTGAGCACACGAGCATCTCGGTAAACAGATTCATTGCTAAGCAGTTGCCACGAAAACTGGAGTTCGGGTGTAGGGACCCTGGAAGGGAGCTTTGCTTCCGGGAAGTGGATATCGTATTCGGGGATCGGCGTCACTTTAAGGGATTTTAAGCCATGAGATTCCTGATCGGTGTCGTTTTGAACCCCCTGGTTGAGTTCGGGGTCGTTGAGTGCATTATAAATAGACAGATGGGAGGCAAGAAGTTTGCGGTACGACTGCGAAGTGGACCGCGTCCCCAGAACGGCTGGTGTAGAATCAGGGACCTCTGAGGAGTATTTCATGGTGATTTGGTACGGGGGAGTAATATCAACGGTTATATATGTTCGTTTGCTAACAAAGTGTGGCGTAAATGTAGTGGTAGTGTAAAATGAACTCCGTCACGATAAGAATTAATCTCCCCCGCGCGACCAGATGCAGGTGGTGATAAGGCTGTATGCAGGATATGAAGAATGGGGTGCAAGTTATTGGAACGGCTGCAAGTTCATGAAAGGTTGATGAAACGGAGCGATTACCACCCGTAGCGAAGCGTTTTTGCAATTTCTTTTTTGAACCACAACGAGTCTAGAAACCCGCTCCAGAGCTCACAGTCGCAGTTTGGGACGGGTATCATGTAGTGTTCGTTTCCTACTCTGATGTAACCGCTGTGAAGTCCAATTTGATTACTGGTAAAAAGTTCGCTGTTTGGATTTTTTTGTGATTTTTCCGTGGTTTTGGAGGAAACCATCTTGAATTCGGAAAATTTATCGTCGTTGAGCAAAGTGGTACTGAAGGCTTGGGTTACATGGTCTCTGATCTGGTTTTTTCTTCCTGTCACCAATTCGAATACTATTGGGTAGAGGGTCTTGTTTTTGTACAAGCCTGGATACTTTTCGTTTTGCAGTTTTTCAGGAGTCAAAGGTGTGTTTATAAGATTGAATTTGGTGTGAGCAGAGTATGATATCGTTGGTCTCATGGTGTTGGAGTTATTATAATCTCGAGCCAATGCCTCGATATTGTACCTTATGTGTCCCAGCCAGCCATTATCTGTCGCTTCCACCTCTTCTAGCTCCTCCAAGATGCTGCTAGCAGGTTTTTCGAGTGGTAGTATACCCACATATCGTCTGGTTATCAGCACCGTGGACTTGCGGCCCGCTAACGAATCAGCTAAAACTCGACCATAGTTTCCCCTACCAACCACCAATCCACCTGAGGTATATTTGTCTAGTCTTTGGACGATTTTGAACTCATTGGGGTCTAGTTTGGTTTGCTTTTGCTGCGAATCTGCAAAATAATTTTTGAGATGCTTGTAAAGTTGGGGCTGAAGAAACTGCTTGTAGTTTCTCGTTCCGTGGCATTGAACTCCCGACGGTTTGTTGACCACCACGTATTTCGGGGTCACAGCCACGAGGCTAATTTCCTTTATCATGCTCAAAATTATGCGCTAAAATGTGTCAATGCAAGTTACAGTTTACGCATCATCGCGCAGAATTACTCATTTTGATTTTGACTAAATCTCATTTTGGGATATTGACCAGTCTCTTTTCTTTTATTATTCTTCATGCCAGAAGCTCAAGCAAACCACGGCTCAAAGCCAGAGGGTGGCACTACACAGCCCAAGAGGCTGCGGCCGAGAAAGAGAAATGGGGCCACAAAATCGTCAAAAACGTCAGAGGCCAATTCCAACTCGAAGGAACGAAACGGCCTGAAACCTCCAAAACGTTCCTTGAAGCAAGCAAAGAAACCAAAGGTGAGAGACCCGGCAAAGGACTACAAGTACCTCGAAGTAAAGAAGCTCATTCGTTTTATCGAGCCACTCACGGTCAATGGAATTCCGCCTGAAATTATCCAGAAACGAGCTCAAGCGGATGAAAACATAAACAAGGAGTCATCTCAAAACTACGTGGAAGACTACATCTTGAAATTCATCACATCGCAGCCAGATCAACCAATCCATCTTTCTTTTCAATTCGCACCTTCAGACCCCGATTTTCCATACAATGTAGAAATGGTCAAAATTAGTCTCAGCATACCCCCAAAGTATCCCTACTCCAAGGAGGCACGTTCCTCCATATACGTGTTGAACGACGACATTCCAAGAGGATTTGCGGTGAATTTGGAGATTGGGTTCAGAAGAATTGCAGCCGCGGCCATGGGTGTTGAAGATGAAGAAATTCAGCTCGTCGAAGGAAAAGGTCTCTTGTCACAAATCAAGACACTCGACAAGTATTTGGAGCTTTTTTTGAAACAAGAGAAGAAGGAAACTATCAAATTCGTCAAGAGTAAGAAACGAGAAAAGAGTAGTAGTCCTTCAGTAGAACCTACTCCGTCAGCCCAGAAACAAACCCAAAAGCCGGAGTCTAAGCCATTGGAGTCTGAACCTGTGGACAACTTGTCCGTGGCTTCTGTTTCCTCTGTCTCCTCTGAAGTTGCCAAAGAACGGGCCCGACTTATACAAGAAATGAACGACAAATTTGGACGAGAAACGGTGAAAGTTTTCAAGAAATCGGCTCTAGAGAACAAGTACAAAGTCATTCTTCCAATACCTATGCAAAAGGACCATATTCCTTCGGCGTGGCAGAAACATGGAAAGGTAGAGGTGTTTCTACATGTTCCTAGCGACTACCCCAAGCATGAAGCTACTTTGCTGATGCCGCCTAACTTTACCAAAAACCTACTTATAAGCTACAAAGACATCCACGAAGCCAACAAGATTCACAAGCAAGTTTTGGCTGTGGAAAAGAATATTGAACGAAACTATCGTAATGCTGGAGACTGTGGACCGCAGCAAAAAACTTTGATATGTGTGATCAACTGGTTATATGTTCATCTTGGGTATTTATGCATGGATCCGGTAGATTTCGACGAGTGGAGAAGATGTGTTGGAAAGGAGAGAGGGGAAGGAAGTCAAGCCTTAAGGGCGATAGTTGTATAAGAATGGATTTCGTTCACTTTTATGATTTCAATTGAAAGTCGCTTTTCACCATTCTTTGTATTGAAAGAGTTTGCTCACAATGACTTTCATCGTCATCTTTACAATTCACCTCTATCTTATAATCTCATTGCTTTCATATTCTCACATAAAATCACCACTCATAATTCAACTTTGTCAATAATTTTATGAATACCCCTTTTTTCGCTTGAACGTTCTCTCTTTTCTAAACCGTTCTCTATTTATGAGTCACATTGACAGAATGTTGTGACAAATCGTTGTGATTAAATTGTGATAAAATTGTCGTAATTTGCACCCATTTGCTCATGGCTTCTCACTATTGACCACCTAAAATTTCATATTAATTTGAATAAACTATTGCACCAAGCCGGTCCAAGTCTCTTATTCTAAAAAGTTATTACATCACTCTTTCTTCTTTACTTACAGTAGGGGTATTTTTAGCATTTTCGTATTTTTGTATTGCAACCTCCTGCACACACCCCCAAACCGATGACGCGGCGGGAGCTTCTTCATCATGAGTGATAATCAGGTCGATTTCCAGTACGCCAATGAGTGCGATTTGGAGATCCATTGCTCACCGTTTGGGTTATCGGGGGTGTACATTAAAATAAAGGGCACGAACATCATGGGAATAGGCTCCACTATGGGATTAATTACGGGTTCCACCAAGGGCTTGATACACTACAATGACTCCAAAGACTTG